ATGAGTTTCCTTTGTGCAAACCTCTTTTTTGTGTGTATATTTGACACGGTTGGTTCATCTGAATGAGTAGATGTCTCGGGGAAAGTTGTGGTGTTTGCACAGCTGGTGCTTTAACTATGCTAGGATGTCGATCTAGATTTCAATGTTTGGTACTGAATGGGTCTCCACAAGTCATTGGAACTCATTGTATGATCCATCGGCAAATGTTAGCAATGAAGATAATGCCACAAGAGTTACAAGAAGTAATGAAAAGCATCATAAATTGTCAGTTTTGTAAAGATGAGCACTTTAAACAGTCAACTGTTTTCTTGACTGTGTAACAAGTTGGACTCATGAACAAAGCTCTGCTATTTCACACTTAAGTGAGATGATTGTCCAGAAGAAGAGTTTAAAATGTGTTCTTGAGCTTCATGATGAACTCAAAACCTTTTTAATCAGAAAGCAAGACCTCAGTTTGAAGCACTTTTCAGCAATAAAAGTGCTATGGAAGAAGGGGAGAAGGGACTGTAGGAGCCAGAGGAGTTGAGGACAACAGAATACGGACCATAGAATCAACTAAGCAAAGCTCATAGGAGCTCACAGAGATTGAAGTAACAATCAGAGAGCCTGCATGGTCTTCAATAGGTCTTCTACATACATGCTACGGTAGTTTAGCTTGAGGTTTTTGTGGGGTTCCTAACAGTGGGAACAGGGGTGTTGCTGACTCTTGCCTGCTCTTAGGACCCTTTTTCTCTTACTGGGTTGCCTTGTCCAGCCTTGATGTGATGAGAGGTACCTAGTCTTATTGCATCATGTTAAATGCCATGTTTGGTTAATATCACTGGGAGGTCTGCTCTTTTCTGAAGGGAAATGGAGGAACAATGGATCTGGGGGAGTGGGGAGGTGGAGGACAGCTGGAAGGAGTGAAGGGAGGGGAGGTTGCAGTCAGGATGTATTTATGAGAGAAGAATAAATAAAAATTGTAAGTGAATAGTGAAAAACAGCTTACTTGGTGGACATCATTGACATCTTGAATGAGTTAAATTTATCACTTCAAAGACCAAATGCAATGTACCTTGATTTGTCTGAAAATATTCAATCATTCCAAATGAATGATTTGGTTTTGCAACCAAAAAAAAGAATGAAAAAAAAATTTACATGTTGTTTATCTTATCTGCTTTCTTTGAAGAACATGATTTTGAACCCCACAAAATGATTACAGTGATTTCTGTGAGAGAGCACTTGCACATGCTTACATATGAAATTTCATCATATTTTCAAAATCTTTCTGATACCCCACTTATACCCCATTTGCCAAAATATCACTCACAGTCAAAGTCAAAGATGTTTCTGAGACAGCACAAGAAGAGTTTGTTAAACTTGTTAACAGTAATGCAGTGTAGGCAGAGGTTTCCCATCCCAGTGGCTGCTTCCCAAATAAACACAAAAGAGTCTTATATTAATTATAAATGATCCTTCAATAGCTCAGGCTTATTACTAACTAGCTCTTACATCTTAAGTTAACCCATATTCCTTATTTATGCTCTGCCACATGGTGGTACCTTTATTAGCATGGCACATTCCTCTCCTGCTCCCTCTGTATCTGGTTGGCAACTCCAGACTCTACCCTTCTTCCTCCCAGCATTCTCCCAGTCTGGCTCTCCTGCCAAACCTTATTCTGTTCAGCTATTGGACAGTTAGCTTCTTTAGTAAACCAATCAGATTGACATATATTCACACAGTGTAAAGGAATATTCCACAGCATTTTCCCCTTTTTGTCTAAATATTAAAGGAGGCTTTAACTTTAACATAGCAAAATTATATACAACAAAAATAGTTATTGAGTAAGAGTTACAGTTACAGTATCCATCCTATTTGTATTTGGCAAAATTAGAGAAAATATTCAGTTATCTATTCTATCTTTGTGAGTCTAAAGTTTTTTGGTGTTTTTTTGTTTTTTGTTTTTTGGTTTTTGGTTTTTTTTTTTTGCTTTTTTTGTTTGTTTTTGGTTTTGATTTCGTTTTTTGAGACAGGGTTTCTCTGTGTAGCTTTGCACCTTTCCTGGATCTCACTCTGTAGACCAGGCTGGCCTCCAACTCACAAAGCGATGGTGGCAAATGCCTTTAATCCTAGCACTTGGGAGTCAGAGGCAGGTGAGTCTAAAGTTTTATACCTAATTTATCTTTTTATCATAACTAAGGAAAACTATAATTATAGCTATCTAGTCTTCAACTCCATCAAAGACCCCAGAAGATTAAAATGTTACCTAATGACAGAGACATCTGGCTGCCTGAACAACCACCCTAGGTTCTTTTGTAACATTGGGGCATCCATCTTCGGCCTGTAGGCTTAGAATATCTAACAGACTTTTCTGAGAAGCAGGGAGCTTTGATGGATTGTCCTACCTTGTCTTGGCAAAGTTTGGCAGTTGCCTTTTTTTATGTCCTGCTGGTCCAATTTAGTAACTGTCAGCAATTGAGGCAAGGGCAGTTTCTTTGGCCACATGGCTGGCAAGGACAGTTTCTTTGGCCACATGGCTAGCTTTTGCCATAAAGAAAACAAACTCCATACTGAGTTTCTTTGATGACCATCATCTTCTCTGAAGTAGATTGGTGCTGCCAGGAGCAGACTTGTCTCACTGTCATGAAAAGCCTTAGGTTATTAAATATATTAAATGGATATTCTATAGGTCTTTAAGTGTTTGAAGACCATCTACCTATCTAAATATATCTGTGTATGACCTTGAAAACATACCTAACATGACTATAAGTTTGACTATTATAGATGACTATTAATTTGTATTGCTTAATTATATATTATATTTTTAAGTGAGTTGCATAAGCACAATACCCCAAACAAGAGTAGAAACATATATACGGTATAAAAGAAATAACTTAAACTTTGGAACAATAAGCTAAAATCTATACCGATGTAAAATATTTTGAGATTTAGTACGTGTTTTTAGGAATAAAGTAGATTCAATAATCTACCCTTTTATCCTATCATTTCCATATCCTATCCCCCTTTTTTCTTTAAGGAAGAAATATTTGAATTTAACTCCTTTGTTTAGCTTTTTTCTTGACTATGACCAATAACAATTTATAACCAACCACCTCCTTAAATGATAATTAATATCCATAACACATCTTTTGGGATTGTGGGTATAGTTCTCTAAACTGCTTCCTGATGTTTTGGGGTGCTTTTATCTTTGGGGGACCCTGAGAAAATTTAGGATTATGCTCAAGTCCTGACAGGAGTATTCTGTGAGGCTGTATCATCTCAGCCAACAGCCTTGAAGCTGTTCTAGATGCAAAATTCTGAGGAGATTGTAACAGAGGCATTTTGAAATGCTGGATTGCCTGGGCCATCAATTTTCATTGGTGCTTGGTCTCCTTATTTGGAAAAATATATAAACTTTTAAAGGTAGCATAAATTTTTGTTTTAATACAAGTATAGACTGTATATTGTACACACGTCAGCCAAAGATGATTTTTTGTTTTATGTTTGAGCAGGTAAAATATACATCATGGGAAAATATATATATTCACATCATGTGTTTGTAGTCTGTAGGTTTGTTTCTTTATGTTTGTAGTCAGAATTTTCAGGGAATCTTCCTTGATCAAACCTGATTTTCTTTAACCCAAAATGAATCCACAGCTTCTCATTTCCTGTGGAAATAAAAGCAAAACCTCTCCCCCCAAAGTAGCACACCTTTTGACTTAAATTTTGAAGTCAAGATATTTTTTAAATATATAGGTTGGTTTAATCTATCATCTTTCATAATCCAGTGTCTCTTAGCAGGCAAAAAAATTAAAGACAACACAATAACATATAGGATCTGGACTCGGTGTATTTTTCATCTTTGTGTGGCTTTTTTCTTTTATATTACTTTACTCTCTTTTTAAAGATTTCATTTTATTATTTTAAAACTATATATTTGTTTTTCATGACTGTTTATACCTTCTCTTTTCTCTCCCAAGCCTATGTATACTTTTAAACTCACTGTAGCCAATTTAGAGGCTTTTCCATATGAATCTATCTTTACTGCATATCTGTAACCTTTTTGGTCTGCATTAGCAAAACCCTACACCCGCTGGGCGGTGGTGGCGCATGCCTTTAATCCCAGCACTTGGGAGGCAGAGCCAGGTGGATCTCTGTGAGTTCGAGGCCAGCCTGGTCTCCAAAGCGAGTTCTAGGTAAGGCGCAAAGCTACACAGAGAAACCCTGTCTCGATTTAAAAACAAAAACAAAAACAAAAAAAAAACCCTAAACCCATCACAAAATGTGCAGCTGGGAGACACCTCTCTCCACCATGGCCCATGTGAGAGACTGTGGGAAGCCTCCTTGTGACTTAGCTCATGGCATATTGGCAGCTGCTAGGAGATGTGTCTCTGTACCACAGCCAACATAAGAGACACCAGAGTAGGAAATTGAGTCTGGCTCCATTTTTGTGTGTTTAGAACCTTTTTTTTTTTTGTTAAGTTTTTTCAGGCTTTATGTGGATGCACGTTGCCATGGACATTGACTACCATTTGCAGTCAGAGTTTTCCTGTCCTGGCAGTTGCTTCCCAAATAACCACAAGAGAGTCTTATATTAATTATAAATGCTCAGTCAATAGCTCAAGCTTACTACTAACTAGCTCTTATGTTTTAAGTTAACCCATATTTTTTTATTTACACTCTGCCATGTGGCAGTGCCTTTATTAACATGGCACATTCATCTCCTGCTCCCTCTGCATCTGGCTGGCAACTCCAGACTCCATCCTTCTTCCTCCCAGCATTCTCCCAGTCTGGCTCTCCTGCATAACCTTATTCTATTCATCTATTGGCCAGTCAGCTTCTTTTTTTTTCTTCTTCTTCTTCTTCTTTTTTTTTGTTTTGTTTTGTTTTTGTTTTTGTTTTTATTCTTGGAGACAGGGTTTCTCTGTGTAGCTTTGCGCCTTTCCTAGAACTCACTCTGTAGTCCAGGCTAGCCTTAAACTCACAGAGATCCACCTGCCTCTACCTCCTAGTGCTGGGATTAAAGGTGTGTGCCACCACTGCCCGGTTTCAGCTTCTTTATTAAACCAATCACAGTAACATATATTCACACAGTGTAAAGGACTATTCCACAGCAATGCAGTGAAAACTTATTTCTCTGCGATGCCAATTAGAAGATTCTGAATCAAGTGTTAGCAGTCATATCCCATTCTGTCTGAGACTGTGTTGTGCCTTCTCTTCCTCTTCCAACAACATATCTTTGTGAAACAGGGTTATTCAGCTTGCTGGTTATCGAGTCTAATACAAAGGTAGACTTGTTGTGGAAGAGGATCTTCACTGTGCTCTTGCAAAGGCTGTCCCAAGAATTTCTGATCTGGTGAGAAAGAAGCAAGCTCAGGCTCCACAGTGACTCTCGATTTTAACCCATACTGTCACAACATGTAGCTACGTAGTTTGCTGTTGTTACGTGAAGACTGTTACCCATTGCTACACCAATGCTGCAAGAAAAAAGTTAATTTATTTGTAACTAGAAATAAATATTTCACAATATATAATTGCATATTGTTTTGTGATTAATCTCTATGCTTTAATTATGTTCACTTTGTAACAATGAAAATACATCCTACATATTAGACATTTAAATTATGATTTAGCAGTAGCAAAATTACAGTTATGAAGTAGCAACAAAAACAGTTTTATGGTTGAGGGTCACCATAACATGAAGAACTGTATTACAGTGTTGCAGCATTAGGAAAGTTAAGAACCACTGATTTCAACCATCAGCAACACCACTTCATATCTGAAAATCTAGAAATCAGATCTTTGACAAGGAAGAGAAAATAACATGGCCACAAAACACAATTAGAGCTTCTAAACATGGTATGAACATCAGAGAGCTAGATTGGCTCATGGAAAGCCAGTTCTGCTGGCCGCACCCGTAATCCAAGCACTCAGGAAGCTGAGGCAAGTGGGTTACCACAAACTCAAAGCCAGCCTGGGCTACAGTGTAAGACCTTACCCCAACAAACAAAAAATTACAAAAATTTCAATAATTTGTGTGGGCACAATCAAGCTATAAAAGTCATATAAAGGATTTCTTTTTACTATACCATAATGTTTTATCAGAAAAACAATATCAAAACAAAGCCCAAAACAAAGCCCATATAACTCATTGTTTTAAAAATTAGTAATTATAACATAAACTAAATATTATTGAGGGGAAAAATAGCAATCTTCATAATTTCTAGTTTCAGTTTTCAAATTATGCCCTGGTCATTTTTTTTTAATTTATAATAAAAAAATTAGTACATGTTTTGCACATTACATGGTGGCTGTCACCCTCAGCCCACAGAGTCCCTATGGCCTTTGCTGAAGTGATTACCTGCCCACATTACTGGCTCATTATCACAAGAGGTTTATGGTAAGGACATCTCCTACAACACTCCTGACCAGAAAAAGACAGTCTGAAACATCTAACAGAACAAACCTATTGGTGATGGAGCACTTAAATGAAACCTTAAGCAACTATACAGGGTGTCTGCTATTCTCACATGTCCTGATGTGTCCTACCCCTTGCTGATACTGAGATAGACCTTAAGTAGTGGAGCCTGAACTAGTCCTCAAGAAGCATCTTGTTATCTGAGACATCTACTTAGTTTACAATGTAATCATTTTTTCATATGGCTAAAAGTATGTTCACATGAATACATATTGAAAAATATATGCATACATATGTGAGGCACTTTTGGAGGTAGAAATGTATTTAAGGCAACCACAATTTAACTGTAGATGCAAAACAAAATACATCTTTAAAAAAGTAAGACTATTTTGGCTCCCTACAAAATTTCATTACTGTTTTGTTTTGCTTTAGGTTTGGTTTGGTTTGTAACAGAGTTTCACTATACAGCCCAGGCTGGCCTCAAATTCATGGCAAACTCATGACTCAGAATAAAGAGAACCTCACAGGAACACCTTGAGTTAGAACATTTAAGCATTAAAAGCAATATCAAGAATTTCCCAGGAAATGGAGGAAAGTAATATAATTATAACCTCTCAGATTTCAGGTAGGGAAAAACAAGACAAAACAAAGCAAAACAATGATGCCACTAAAAAAGTTATCCCAATGGAAGGAGATGCTGATATAGACACTGTACTCTGTTCTATAGGCAGCTGTGCACTATACTATATATAGGCAGCTATACACTATATTATAAGCACTGAAACAGCTTCATGATAGTTTAGAGAAGCATGCCCAATAACATGGCATTCCTGTAGCTTCATCAGAGTTAAAAAGGTTACTTGTGCAAGTTAAAATCCAATACCAAGCCTGGTGGTGGTGGTGCATGCCTTTAATTGTACCACCTAGAAGGCAGAGGCAGGTGGATCTCTGAGTTCCAGGACAGCCAAGGTTATACAGAGAAATCCCATCTCAAAAAAAAAAAAACACAGAAAAAAAGAAACCAATATCAATTAAATGGTGACAGCTTTGCCAATAAACAAGAATCTGCTCTTCACTGGCTAGAACGGGAGGTTGCCACAGCAGGCAAGTCCCAAAGGTACATGGAAATATCTTAAAACCACTGAGGATGTCAAGGAGGAAAGAAGAGAACCTACTTCCAGGCCATGGGAACAAGGACTTCCCTTCTGCCAAAAATGAAGGCTTCAAGCAAGGACCCCAGTAGACAAGCCCTCCTGAGCCTTTATTTATATTTTTGCAAGATTAACTCATTCAGTCCCATCATAGTACTTTGGAAAGTGATGTTATTAATCCCACTTGGTAGATGAAATAAAAGCTCAGCTTTAGAACCCTATTTTAAATACCACGATAATCTGAAATGTCAGTTCTGAAACTTTCAAAATCTCAACAGTTTATGTGCCCTCAAACCATCTTTTCAAGTAAAACCTATCCCTGCCATAACTATAACATGCATGCTTTCTAGCTATTACAAGGAATGCTTAACCAAAAACACTCATTCCTCCGGAAGCTGAAAACAACGTCTCCAGAGACAACAAATTGAAATAATTATTGACCAGATTTCAGTTCAATGAAAGTGCAGGATTTCCCTGCCTTACAACATTTAATTAAAACCTCAAATAACTTCATAGGTGTTGGGAGGATACCGGGTCCTTCCTTTTTCATACTTCCTGGGGAGGAAAGCAAATTTCTCTAGGAGAAGCAGGAACTACACTCTGGGCTTTTACCTACCCCTTGCTTACAGCTTCCTAGACAAGCAGCAAAGCTGACTGACCCCTTACCCTGCAGCCAGGCTGACTGTCTCTGCCATTTTCCTCAATCTTTTTCAGAACCAAGCCCCCTTGGAGGATCTAATGTTCTCTTCCAGGTCCTGTGTCACAGGGCAGCCTCTTTCTCTGAGCAGAGAGTCTGTGCTGGAACAAGGACACCGTTTCTTTAACTCAGAGGTGAAGTGTGAAATGTCCACTTGGTCACAGACCTATAGAGAGGTCTGTCATGACTTTTCTCAGTAGGAAATTAAAGACAAGCTGATCTTTACTTATTTATTTTCTCATTTCTCAACTACTTACAAGGTTGGGAAGAAAAGTCAAGGATGTTACTCACTGGTCCCCTAAAACTACAAGCAAGAATCAGCAACATGGAAAAAGAACTTTTGTTTCTTCTCCCATGCTCATCATTTATGAAACCCCTCGACTAAAAATCCATACATGTAAATGATAAGATTGCTTTACTGCAGCAAACAAATAGTGTTGGTTCTTTAACCACAGCATCAAGAGGCTTACATGAATACAACAGAGGTGAAGAAGCCCGGGTGCTTAAGCTATAAAGATGGGTGCTATATAGATAGAGCGGAAGAGAGAAAAGAGGAAGAAGAGAAGAGGAGGAGGAGAGGAGAGGGAGAGGCAAATAGTATTTGCCTCCAGTAGAGACATCAGATTTTGAAGCAACCTCTAGTTAGATGGCCTCAATATTTCAAGAATTATTCTGGATTTACATTTTTATTTCTGTCTAAAAGCCCATGTGCAGCTGGGCT